GAAAGAAAGATAATAACTTCATAAGATCTCCTAGTACGAAAGGATCGGTAGATGGTGATCCTCTGTGTAGACTTTAGTTTAACAAGTAAGAAAGTAGGGCATAGAAGAGTAGCTACGATCAAGGAGTTAAGTATTGAAAGCATATCAAATACGAAAACCAATGAAGCATTATCGAATTCTCTCGCATAGAGAGTGGTATAGAGGATGACTACCTCTTAGATAGGCAGTAAGTGATATGTTTGTTAAAACCAGCTAAACTGTACTAATGAATACTAACTTTTATCATGAACATATACTAATACTAAAAAGTAATAACAATTTATACGTTATATAAGCATCGCATAGCATAGCATAGCATAGCATAGCATAGCATAGCATAGCATAGCATAGCATAGCATAGCATAGCATCGGGTAAATGGCACAGATAATGGCCGAATGGTGAGGTACGCTCTCTGGGCGGGCGATGATGCAAGTTCGAATCCTGCTTATCTGATAGGTCATATTTAAAGATGCTTAGCCCAGCTCTTACGTACATCCTTCCGACATATTTTGTATGATAATAATAATTATAATAATAATAATAATAATAATAATAATAATAATAATTATAATAATAATAATAATAATTATAATAATTATCATAATAATAATTAAGGTACGGAGGGGGGCCAAGGGTATAGCTCAATGGAAGAGTGACGGTCTTCAACACTGATGGTTGTGGGTTCGAATCCTACTATCCTTGAAACTTGATAAAATGGTACCAGTATAGAATAGTAGAATAGTAGAATAGTAGAATAGTTGAATAGTAGAATAGTGGAATAGTAGCATAGTAGAATAGTAGAATAGTTATCATAATTCTGACTATAGTAAAGGCAAGGACTCGTAAAGATCAAGGCTATATTATTATATTATTATATTATTATATTATTATATTATTATATTATTATATTAATATATTATATTATTATATTATAATATTATTATTATTGATTGGAGGTAATACCGGTCAGCTCAAATACATGAAGTATATATATATAAGTTAAAATGACAATATTCTATAAACTATGGATCATAAACTTAAAGACAGCCTTATCTTACTGTATTATCATGTCGCATGCACATGGTGTAGACTAGGCATTTATAAAGCATCATGCTTCAAGCAGCTAAAATTATTGGATCAGGACTTGCGACTATTGGACTTACAGGAGCAGGAGTAGGAATTGGGGTCGTGTTCCAGGGACTCATCACAGGTACAGCTCGAAACCCTGCTATAAGAAATCAACTATTCTCATACGCAATTCTAGGATTTGCCCTTAGTGAAGCGACAGGGCTATTTGCGCTAATGATCAGTTTCCTTCTTCTATACTCATAATAATATGAATAAAACAAGTAAAACAAGTAAAACATTATAGCAGTAGTCTAAGCTTCACACACCATTTATGTAGGTGGTGCAGTAAATATGCGAGAGCTATGGATTATATGCAGTAATTATATAAGTCTGATAAGAAGAATGGTATTGAAAGTATATTCTCCATATTGTTGAATATACAGATACAGATTATAGTAAGTCAGCAGAGCAAAGAGGATTAGACCTGCTATAACCTGAATATATCAAGGTTATATGAATTTGGCACTGATGAATATTGAATATTGAATATATCACAGAGGTAAACCATGCGAACTCTAACTCTAATATTGATAAGGTTCAAAGAATACCAAAAACTACACATTCTAAAATCTGATCTAATCTAATCTAATCTAATCTAACCTAATCTAATCTGAAAATCCAATAAACCAGGCTATGTTACCAGTTGAATCGATCTGATGAGACCCGAGCTAGGCGTACAAACAGAGCGATCAATGAG